TCTGCGTTCCATGTGCCTCAATGAGCGCATAAAAAGAATCGATTCATCTCTGAGAAATTGATGACACTTGCTAAAAATAAATGAGTTTAATATCTCCAAAATGTATACACAATGTAAGCTCTATCTGTGCTCACAGGATGTTCTGATCTTTTCAGTGATTTTTTCTTTAGTAATTCTATCAGTAGCTTATGTAGAAAAACAACATCAAAAATAGCTAACTCACCAAACCACAAATACTATCTCTTTCTGGTAATAAGAGCCAATTCCAGGATTACTAACTTTCACTCAACTTACACATTTCCTTCAGTGATTTTCCTTTTTCTTCTTCTGTAAATGCTGCTTCTTTCACCTGCTAGACTCAAAGAAGAGTAGGGAACATCATTATGACATGTCAGATTATAAAAGCCTTCAAGAAAGCTTGAAAAAATCTTTTATAAACAATAAAAAGATAGCAACTTCTTTTAAGCCTTACCAGTCCCTCATTTTCTCCCAGTTTTATAGTACATGAGTAAACCTGCCAGAAAAGAACAAAAATTACATTGTTAATTTAAGTGGTTTTCAGCTTTATACACACACACACACACACACACACACACAGGCTTTCTTATAAAATATAATTGCCTTGATTGTTTATCATCCCAACATAGATGTTACCTTCCTAAGCCCATTAAGAGGCTGCTGTAAAATGTGGTGCAGCAATGCTATGAAGGAAAAGAACAAATTTCAACCAAAGTACCACTGGAGCAAAGAAAGGAAATAAGGAAATACTTCTGCTTTTCTGTTGAGACAGAATAGAAAAGGGAATACAACAAGGAAGTCAAGTGCAAGATAAAGAGGTGGCAGCATATGGCACTTGGCAGAGGCTCCTGCTCCTGCCAAGGGAACTCAGAAGCAAGGAGATGGTTACTTCAGCAGAGGGCACTGGAGTGACAAGGATGTGGTGTGGTGCTGCCTCTGCCTTGCTCTGCCTAGTGGAACTACAGACTTGCTCTGCTGCAAATTCTTCTACTTTCTGTTGTTTCACAGTTTTTATCCCAAAAAGAGAGGAGATGTGCTGAATGACACTGGAAGCTCTGGGGTTGGAGCAAAGCAGGCAATGACATAGAAGCAGAAAAGGCAGTAAGGAGGAGAATCTGGTACTCCTGAACCAGCATTCTGCATCCCACAACACCAGTGGGACAAGGAGGCTGATGAGATGGGATGCTAAAGGAAGTGAAGCCTCTAATGAGAAATCACCAAAACAAGGTTTCTTACCCTCCTTATAATTTCTTCTTTTTCCACAGCAGCTGCAGTCAGGGGGCATATTTACATAGACCTTTGCATTCCAAGTAGGCTGGAAACACAGACATTAACAATGGTATTGATATTCTACAAATTTATTATGAACAGCACCAAAGAACTGCAAAAAATTTTTCAAACAAATCTGATGTTTGGTGGGTTATATAGTATTATTTATTTGTGCAAATTGAGAATTTGTGAATGCTTGGGAGAGAATCTTTCAAGGAGGAGCACTCATTTTACACATACGGACTTCACGTTCCTTTAGATCCTCTAGGCTTCTTTTATACAAGGGAAATGAAAGCCTTGTGTGTTATGTTGGAGACACTGAGCATGTCCACAGTGTAAGGCTGCATTTTGAATTTGTATTATTTAAAATAAGAAAATAAAACTAGCTCCAATAGTTGCATCTGCATCCCATGGGCTTGGATGACATTTAGCATGCTCTCTAATGAACACTGGATTTTTTTCAATTATTATGTTGGATGGATACAGTCTTTTCCTTTTGTCAATGGAATTTTATAAAAGTGCAGGAATTTAGGTTTTGTTAATGTGAGGGTCAATTTTTTTAACATGATGGTCAAGCATATAAAAGTGCTAAGGATTTTCTTTTTTATTATCTATGGTTTAGAATTTTCACTGTGTGAAATAACAGGGACATGCTTGCAGCCACCTGGGAAAGTATTTCATTCTTGCCTTCCATTCTGATATCACAGGTTTCAAAATGAGAATTTTTCCTCCATCAGCTTTACAAGTCACATTGCTAACTAAAATAGCAAACTGAAACACTGCCAAGACATTTAAAAAATACACATTTCTTTTTTTAAAGACAGCTATCCTGGTACCACAGTTCTAGAGCAGTTTTATATGGAAGGAGTAATATAAAAAATGGAATGGTGAGATGATACCATTTGACAGCTACATTGGTATTTTAGGTATTTCTCTCCATCATAGAGCCTAAAATGGGGAGTCATTTTTAATTTGAGGAACATTACTAGTGTGGCCACAAATGTCACATTTTAGAACCATGCCTACACACTATCCCCTTTTGGATGGGAAAAAGGAGAGAAAGATTTGAAAATTGAGACTATATGCGGTAGAATAAAAACTAACTCCTGTGGGCTTTTAAGAACATAAAAGAAAGAACAATGTAAATAAGTGGAGATGAATTCTAGCTGATTTAATGATAAGCTGAAATGATATTTGAAAGCAGTAATCCTAAAGGCAAATAACACGTTGTGTCTCATGCTAAAAGCAGTGTGGCACGCAGGAAGAAATGCTGCGTAACTGGGGAAGGCAGCCACTAAAAATAACCCAACTTATCTAGTGCCACCAGATCCCAACAAGAGAACCAGCTCAGCTTCAAATTTCTCAACTTGCAGAAAACATAACAAAGAATAAACATCAGAAAAGCCTGACTCTGATGGAAGTGTAAAGTGGGGTTTGAGAATTGAAGTGCTCATCTGTGCAGTGTTACATAATAAGAACAATAAGGTGATTTCATATCCCACTTCTTCAAATTTCCACCATGTATTACTGTGGTAACCTATGCTACTGAAAATGGTTGTTAGCATGTTCCTACTGGCAATGCAATTAAATGTTGAGGGAAAACATAAACTACGTGAAAAATGAAGCCTTTCCACATACAGGAACAAAAGACAAAGTGGTAGAAGTCCCCAGACTGGAATATTAAAACCCAGACTGAACAGACATCAGAACACTGTACAGTCACTTGCTAGAAATAACAGGATTCAGGCCCTCACCATTTCTAGCTTCTGTGACATTAAACCAAGGTTGCAAAGAACACCTACCATTTTAGCTATTCCTAATGCCATCTTCTGCTTCTAATCAGGGCACTGACAACTCCAACAAGGTTCACATTTCTACTGTAACATTTAAGGAGGAGTCTGCAAAAGATGGCAATTGTTGATTGAGAGGTTTCTGTGGTTGGAAGCACCTTAAAGCTCATCTTAGTCCAAACCCTGCCACAGGCAGGGACAACTTCCACTAGACCAGGCTGTTCCAAGCCCCTGTCCAGTCTGGCCTTGGACATTTCCAGTTTACACTTATTTTCTAGCTCATAGTAAAGCTCTTGCTAAGTCAAAGATGCTCTTTGCAAATATGCTAATCTTCTGTGTCTGTAAGATCTCATTGCCTGTGACTGTGGCTAGAAAACTCCATTTTCAGAAATTAATAGCTTTTCTTAATACTATTTTATTTAAACAGTGATCCTTGATAGCTTTTCTTAATACTCTTTTATTTAAACACTGATCCTTGATAAGTATTGAGGTTGTTTTGGTGGAAAAGCTAAATAATAGAGATTATTTCTTTAGTAAAACAGATAGAAATAACACTTAGTTACTAGCACCACATTTCTTGTAAAGTTAATGAAAATCTGTCTATGGTCAGTACAAGAGTCAAAACCAAGAACTGAAGAATAACCTTGCCCTGTGTAGTTCTTCCCTGCGTGTAGGAATTTCTGTCTTCTGTCTGCATGTCACAACCCAGCTTTCTTTTGCAGGCCTGCTCTCTCGAGTCCCTGGCTACTTCTGACTTGACAATGCCCTATTTATATTGTATTTCCAGGTCATGCAATGCTGCACTAACAGTAATACACTGGGTACTCCTTACAGTGTTATGAAAGGAAAAGAGAAAAGCAGTGATTTCCTACACAGCATCCTGCACAATGGCATCACAGCAGGATTGATCCCACAGAGCCTCTAGCTGGGCATAGACATGATAAAACAGATGGGCAATAAAATGGGACCACTGAATACTATTTTTGGTCTTTACTTTAAATATAGCTTTCTTAATATTTTACACCATATTCATGCTCTCATAAACAGGCATCAAGTGCATGTTACCTTGAAATATCCTGATGCTAAGTTATTAGCTCTTGTAACAATTTAAAACAGTCAGTCGGTACGTGTTTAGTAAATGCTGCAAGTCAAGTGATTGCAAGACATTCTATAATTTCTTTTAAAATTTCTTCTGTATCCCAACTAGTTCTGACTGTGATACAGGAAAGCTTGGAGGGTCCCCAAACCTCTTACCTGTGGTGTTGGTTAAAGCTAAGGATGATGTGTGTCCTGCAGCACACAAAGCTACGGGGGACCTTCTCCAGCACGGAGTCCATCTCTACGCCTTCACTTGGGACTGGCGGGCAAAACCCCGAAAAGTTTGCCCTGTACGGCCACGTAAGAGGGAACTTAATTTGCGTTCTTTTTCCCTGAAGTAAGGAAAGTAACCGGCTTGAAGCACTAAGGTGTGATGTATGAGGCAACCGCAGGGTCGCCAACAGAGGTTCCTGAGGGAGAGAAAATGGCGGGCGGGGGCCCTCAGCAAGCTCCCAAAACACAGAGCGCTCCCCAGGAACCACTCCGAGTGTGAAAAGCCTCGACCTCCACCCCCGAGCCCGCTAACTATGACAAGAGGAGGTGAGGAGGGGGGGAAAAAAGACCCCACCGGAAAGGAGGAAGGCATCTGACATTGGAGACCGTCCCTGACAGAGCGCGAGGTACCCTGCCCGAGACGGGCGGTAGCTCCCCCACACTGCCCTCAGGGGCTCCAGGCCGTGACTCGGCTATTTCTCCCCATCCCGTCCCGTTCCGTCCCCGTCGTGTCCCGGTTGCGGGGGAAGGCGGGCGCAGGAAGGGGCGGGTGGTGCGGAGAGAGAGGGAGGGAGGGAGCTGGGCGGTGAGAGGAGCAGTCGACGCACAAGATGGCCGCTGCCGGAGTGGCAGCGGGGCGGCGGCGGGCGATGGCGGCGCTGCCCCGGGGCCCGCGTGTACTACTGGAGGAGCAGCAGCAGGGCGCTGTGGCAGCCCCGGTGTGCCGGAGCTGAGGGGGCCGCTGGGCGCTGCAGGAAGCCCGGCCCGCGTGGTGAGTGCGCTGCCTCCGCCGCGGGGTGCGGGGAACAATAGGGCGGGAGCGCTCTGCCCGCCTTGCCGAGAAAGGAGGCGGAGGGGCGGGCGCTGGGACGAGATGATCTCCAGAGGTGCTTTCTACTTCTAACAATTCCGCGACTTTGTGCCTCGCCAGGCCTCAGGCTCCTGCCGGGCTCGATTTCCGAACGCCTCGGCGGGCGGGGAGGGACCGCGGCTCGCTGTGCCCGATGGGGGGGAGGCGGAGAGCGGCTGGGTCCGGCTGGGGGTGGGGAGAGGCGGCATCGCCTCAGGGTGCGGCGGCCGAGGGACAGGCGGCTTTTGTGTGCCCCCTCTGCCTGCTGTTGTTGTTTCCAGGGGCTCTGCCTGCCTCTGCGTGAGAAAACTCGTCCCTGTGTCGCGTTGAACAACAGAGACGGGGGGAAAATAATGATAGAGCCCTACCCGTCCCCGGGACACCTCTCCGCCCTGGGTTGTGGCTCTTTTGTCTGTCGTGCCTGAGGGAAGAGCGAGGTGGCCGCGGCTCCCTGTGCGTGGGGACAAACGATGGTGAAAGCGCACAGGATCTCCCTGACTTGCAGTAGTTTTTCCACCCTGGCATTGTTTTGGCTGTTGGATTACACCCACAGAGTGGGTAGGGTTTCATGCCGGGGGTGCGGTGTTGGTGTAGCTGGGATTTAATTTGCTTTGATGGTTGGGAATGTCCTGGTGTCAGGTTTTGTCTTCAAAAGCCATTGTGAGGTCTGTCTTGTTTTAAAGCAGGGAACTGATGAGGGTTTTGGTGTTTTTTTTCCCGTAGGAATTGGGAACGTTTTGTTTATCTCTGCACGCCTTTTTATCCAGAATGTATCTCTTATTTTTATACATTTTAGTCAAGTATGCGTGACAAATCATTTGTTCCTCCAGCAGAAGCTACGGTTTTCTGTGCTTTTTTTGCCATATTGAAAATGGCTGTAGTGGGGGAAAAAATTTAAAATTTGCAAAAAAAATTAACAGGTTCAAAGTAATCTGGATTGCAGCTGAGCTGCTTTAATCATTGTAACTGGTGTAGCAATGCTGTCATTTAATGACTCTGCTGGAAGATAAATGCAGCATTTATACTCTATTCACATTATTTGGTTATAGAATTGTGAGATAATACAGGAATACTCTGAGGCAAAAGTTAATGTATTCCTAAACTTATGTTTTCTTGCTTCTTTCAGGCTTATGAGGATGTGGAGGTGGTTAATTTTGTCAGCTATAAATGTCTGTATTGCTACATTTGAAGTCAATGAAGCTAATATGGGACTTGATGGCTGTATAAATAACCTGTGCTCAGGAGCAGTTGGTACATTATTGCCAGTTTCTAAGCTTCACCAGGAGCTCCATGGCTTTCTTCAGTGCATTAATGCACAATGCTGATAATGAAATTATGGTTCCCACTAACAGAAATAGAAGCAGGCGTTATCAGGCACGTTTTCTTTTCCCAGTGATAGCTTATGGCTTTGCCTTCCTGTCCTAGAAAAGGGTCTGTCAAAGCAGACAGCCTGACAGGCTGCTTGGAGGGAAATTTAGAAAGGCAGGTACCATCAGAGCAGTCTGTTTTGACAACCAGAGACTTGAGTTTGTCAATCACTTAGGAGCAGCAGGAACCTTCGTCGACATAAGTGGGAAGTAACTTGTATGGTTTCTGGTGTTTTGTTGTTCGTTTTTGTGAGGGGTTTTTTTGTCAGCTTGTATCCAAACTAGCTTAGTTTAAAATGAAATATTCTATAAATGTCTGATGGGATTGTGGTGTGCTGATAATTTAAACTAATGTTCCAGTGAGCAGATGAACATATGAATCTGGAAATTGCAGACATTAATAACACAGACTTTAATTTAGGGGCATCTTGAGGCGTGTATTATTATATAAAAGGGCTCATGCTAAAGCAGATGAAGAGAAATGAGCAGGAATGCTTTTGGAAACTTCTGACGTGTTGCCAATGATTCACCAGCAATCTGGGTGGAGCCATTATCAATCTTGTTGAATTAAGCATCACAGAAGTTGAGATTCAGTGAGTGTATATTAAAATAATGCTTTAATTACTTTGTATGGGATTTAGAGGCCTTGGGTGACACTGATGCTGGCTTCCTTTCACAGTGATGGCAAAAACTGATATCCCATTTAATGAAGGCCTCTATCTCTTAACTAACCTGTGCTGTAAAAGGTTGTTTCATGATACTTAGGAAATTGACCTTTCCCAGTCTGTAATATGTAGTGATGTGAAGGATAATTAGCTTTTTTTTTTTTTTTTTAATCTGCACGAAGAATTACAGTTTACATGCTGGATACCTGGGGGAAAAATGTTCCAGCCATTTGAAAGAACTTATGGAGTCATAGCTTTCCAATGCTATGATATGTAAAGCTGAATTAGAAGGAGAGAATTCATCTGCATGTAGGTTCCCAAACTTCCCAAGAAGCTCAGAACAGTGATGCAGAAGCCACTATAAGGTATCTTTTAAGCAGGTGACCTTTATAAAACTTTTTTTTTTTTTGCAAAGCCTACTCATTTGCAAAGCCTACTCCCACCCTGGATTCACTGAGTCATTTTGCAGGTGAAAGTCTGTGTGGTTTTGTGGTATTTTTCCCACAGCCAGTAAATTGGGTGGTTGTTTGCTGGAGCATCCCAAGTAACATTGCAGGTGGGCCAGAAAAACAAATCTGACATGGCAGATAAAACATAGGGGAATTAGTAGTGTGAAGTTCATGTCTTGGACTGTACAAGGTAACAAGTGGGAAACCATTATCTATAATATGCTGCTATTGTGAAAGATTATTATATAAACACTGCACTGACTGAAATTTCAGTGTGACCTTCAAGATTCCATGTAGGCTCTGTTACAGTAATGCAGTCTAGGGACTCTGCTAGCTGAGAAAGAAACCACAAATGTTTACTCGGTTATATTACCTTCCTTTCTGAGCACAGGTTCCACAGTGTGCCCAGAATTGGGTGCAGTTCCCCTCCCTGAGTCTGACCACTTGTTTTGCTGAAGAAGTGCATCTCTTGATAATTACTTTTTGCATCAGTCTCATTTTCTTCATTACCAGTACAGTTAAAATTGAAATGGTATTAGATTTCCTAGGGCTAACTGATTTCCTAATGAGGTTTTTTATTTGTGGAAGTGGGTTAATGGGCAAGAAGGTGCAAAAGTCCTGATGGCCTATTATAAATAGATTTTTCTGATATAAAAATAATTTCAGGTTAGAGTGCTTGAGGAAACAGCTTTCCTGTTACCTCATGGTAGCAACACATTTGGTGCTATGAGCTGGAGAAGAAAGAGATTTTGGTGATAGAAATAACAAGAATTCTCGATAATTTGCTGTGAATGTGTGTTGTCAGAGGCAGTACCAGTCGTGCACTGCTCTGCGTTAGGAAGTGTAGAGGGTGTTTCATGCAGGTATGGTGGGTGTCCTGGCCTCACATTGAGATTCCTTTCTAGTGGAGTGAGAGGGGAGGCAGCTGCAGGGAGTCTAAGGGAAACTTCCAGTGGGCAGAGATGGCTTCTCATAGGCATCAGGGCATATATGCATATACAAAAGGGCCTGGACATCCCATGCAGCCTTTTGCATGCAAACTTCTGCCCCACATGCTAGGTTAGGTTTTCTTCCCCCAGAAAAAATAAAAAGGTATTTCAGAAATCCTAAAAGTTACATAAGATCTCTCTTTATCACTTGATTGTTCAAAGTAGGTAGAGGCCTGTGTAAGCTACAATGGAAGCTACCTTGTTAGAATGAAGACATTTTTAGGAATGTGGATAAAAATCTTCATATGAGAGAGAGATGTGAGGAGGAGAGGGGAAACAAGGGAAGAGGATTGTTTTGACACACAAGAGGATTCTTTTTTTCTTGTTCTGCTACATCAGAAATGGAAGATACGCAGTTAAACTGAGAAGTAGTGGAAATGTTGCTGAGGAACAGATCTTTCACTTGCTTCACACAGATTGTGACAGAGTTGCCATGTAATTTGATACAAAGAACACAGAAGAGAGTGTTTGTGTCAGGGAACGCTGTGGTGAGTCTGGAATTCAACATTACAGAAGCTGGAGGATTTATTGAGAGTTATGCCTTCCAGCCATGGTCACTAAAACCACCAGAAGGACATGTTGTTCTTGCCTCTGGCTCAATAGACCTCCCTCACTGGAGATTGCTTGCAAAACCACTTTTTGAAGTATTAATTTTCAATTACTGGTTTTCTGGTGTTTGTGATGTGCATGTTATATTGATCTGAGACAGGACTGCTTCAGCTACAAGACAACTGAAGGAACAAAGTGTTTGGTGTAGCTGAAATGTGCCAGGCTGGGAAAATGAGATCTCACAGGTGGTTCTTTATTTCCTTTAGTTTTTTGTTTTAACAGGGAAAGTCTGGTTGGTCTCATCTCTCTACTATTCCAGATTAATAGGTGTTTTTAAAATTGTCTTATTAAATACTCTTTCAAAGCAGGCTGTTAATCTTAAATAAAAATCTGGACATTTCAAATGTAATTATTTTTCAGAATGCTTCCGTGTTCATTAGATTCTGTCAGGATAAGCTTTGGAAGTTGAGGTGTGGTGGTTTTTAAACCTGTTGTTGTTAACAAAATGCTGGTTGATCACCTGATGGAGCAGGAACGTTTCTAGCTTGGATCTAAAGGTCTTCTCAGCACTTTTTCCTGAACTCACTTGCAGCAATTACTTTAGTTCAGATAGTGAGCAAGTTGGAAGGGTTTTCAACTTCAACTTTGAACTTCCTTGCTATTTACAAGGGAGACATCTACTATAGTGGCAGGAATCTCACCTCTTTGCTGTGCATTGGAGGCTTTCAGAGACTTGCAGCTAAATATTTTTGATAAATTGTGTCAGCCAGTGTTGGTCCCCATCTCAAAATTAGGTGCTACCTTTAGGGCAAAAGGAGTCAGGTTCAGGGAAGGTATTACAATGGGAATTAATTGAAATTCATGCCACAGAGAATGGTCTTAATTACCTGCTTGTTAATAAAC